CATCGGGCGCGGCAGGCGGGCGGGAGCTGGGCCCTGAAATATGGTGGGTGGCTCAGAGCAGGCGGGGGCTGGGGTGGGGGAGGTGATGGATGGGCTGTGGGGGAGGCGAGGACTGTGTTTAATAACAAAATTGGTATGCAAGGCCACATCCCAGCGCTAAGCATGAGTGATCCAGAGCCACAAAGTATTACAAATCCCCGCTAAACAGATGCTGACAATGGAACAAGACGTATCAAATCAGATCCACTTCAGAAACATTAATATCCCTGTTCCTGTCCCTCCCGCCCTACTGCCCCCCTCTGTGCTCACCACATCTGTGCTCACACATTCATGCACGTGCTATCACATGCACACAAACACACGCACACACAGGCGCCGGCTGAAACACGGCAGGAGGCAGAAACAGCCCCTTCGCATAGGATTCCCATGCACATACAAGCAGTATAGGCAGAGCACACCCAAGAGATCCATACAGCACAAGATACACACCCAGGGCAGGTACCTAGGGCACATGCAGGCCGTGTGTACACAGGGAACACTCACAGGGAAAGGCATAAACACACCTAATATGTGAGCATAGGCATAGGCAGATCATAAAGTAGAAGTTTTCCATCCAGGGCCATTTTGCCCCCCAGAGGACAGCTGGCAACATTTGGAGACATTTTTGATTGTCACAACAGGGAGTGGGTAGTTTTCTACTGGCATGTAGTGGGTGTAGGGGATTAACCACCCTAGAGGGTACTGGATAGCCCCTCACAACAAGAAACTACCCAGCCCAAATGTTAATAGTGCTGAGGCCGAGAAACCCTGGTGTAAAGGTGGATACGCACAGATCCATTGTCTCTAATTCTGTCAACGTGTCGTCACACTGAGGTTCAGACATGCGCTCAGAGGCGCAGGCAGAGTCGTGTTACCAGGGCCGTGTCCTTAAAGACATTCACAACTGTCACCCAGGCCTGGATGAAGAGCTGCTCACGGGCCCACCTTCACACAAGCATGCACAGGTACAGACACCCACGTGTGCTGACACACGCCCAACACTCAGGCACCCACAGATGCAGCCATAGATGGACACACCCACAGAAGCAGACATGTACATCATAGTGAAGGGGCCGGTAGCCTTGGCAGCAGGCTGAGACTAAGATCTGAGTGTAAAAACAGCTCGGGGTGGGGTGGGGGTGGGGGGGTGTGGGTTTGATTTCTAGTCAGGGAACTAAGATCCTGCATGGCACATTATGTGGCCAAAATATTAAAAACAAACAAAAAACCAACAGCTGTCTCCCTGTCTGATCATGCAGTGGGGGCATCACAGGAAAGGACCACCGGACTGGGTTCCATTCAGTGGCATTTTGTTCATAAATGGTCCCCATGTTCCTGCTCCTGATGCGGGCACAAGGGATAGAGGAAATGGAGCTGCCGTTAAGGAACAACTAGATGTGAGTCTGTTACTTTTATCTTTCCTTCACTCCGTCAACAAGTGCTGCTGTTGCCCTGATACCGGCCCCACTCCTGGACCTACAGGTAGAGAAATGAGGCATCTATTATATGACACTGTTCCCACCAGACCCCTGGACTGAGGTCTGAGTGTTTTCTGAGCAGAATCAGGGTGAAATGGAAGAGGAAAGACTGAACAATTATTGTGTACCCACCACACATGACAGGAATGGGCTAGGAACTTCAGGGGTGTCATCTCTTTGATCTTCACAAAACCTTTACAGAGTCGACTGGCGGGCTGGGTGACACCTCACTGCTCACACAGTCCAGGCAGGGTTTGGGATTTGCGTTCCTATCTAACAAAGTCCAGAGTGCTGCTTTTCGGTTGGCCCCACTGCCTCCTAAAGACACTCAGGATGGAGGGCTGAGCCCTGAGTTCTTTTACTCTCTCCACTTTGGGGAGGGCCCTGCTGTCTCTGAGCTTTCATTTACTCTGCTGGTGAACAGAAATGAAGACATTCAGGGCCAGGATGTCCAGCCTCTCTCCCTTGGCCAGTCCTCTGGATCTTTTCCTGCAGTCCTCTGCACCTACCCTCCAGGTGGACTGGTCAGACTCCTTCCCTCTCCCTGAGCAAGCACCACCACCCTCTCCCCGCCCCCCGCCCGCCCTACCTTTCCTCCAACAACCTGATCACCTCCAAGTGTGCTTGCTTTCCCCAGAGAGAGGAGTCTGGCGAGGGGCCCACCTTGGAGAGGAGAGCTCTGAGCCCCGAGCCGCTGGCAGCCAGGCTCCCGCCCAGCCCATCCACTCGGCTCTGCCTTCGTCCCTCCCAGTTTCCACAGCCCGCCCCCAACGATTTCCTCCCTTCTCAGTCACTCGCTGCCTAGTGATCCATGGGTTTTAAATTATAACTGGGACCCAGGAAACGCGTTCCTAAGTACAATATTCATGGGCTGGGCTGACACTTTTAATTAAGGTGATTTACACTGAATTATCCTTGGAAATAAAGAAATGGTGTGCTGCCCGGGAATAAACCATCATCACCAGCCGCCTTTGTAAGTTACACTTCGTTTTAATCTATTTGGGGAATTGTTTATCTAGTTCATTACCCAACCAAACACCGAGGCCAGCCTTAAATAAGGCTTAAGTGGGGGTGGGGGCAACTGCTATCTCCACACCCCGCCTCTCTAGAGTCACCCAGCCTCCCTCTGGCTCCTTCCAGCCCCTTTAAAACACTGACTAGACCAGATCTCAGAGTGGCTAAGGAAGCCTCCAGAAAAAGGTCTCTGAGCTCAGGGCCCTCCAAGCCAAGCCTCAGTTTCAGCTCTGTGTGATCTCTGAAAGAGTTCAAGGTTCTTTCCTATTTCTGGGTAGAAACTCCTGTCTGAGGGCCACAGAGAAGTTTGGGGACCACTGGCCAACCTGCCCGTCAATCTCCAGCTTCCATCTATGTTCCTGCCCGTCTGTCCCGTCTGTCTGTCTGTCCACATCCACTCCCCACACTGTCACCATCCCAAAGAAAGCTTACAGCACCCAGAGCTCTGTCTGCAGTCTCCTCCTTCCCTCAGATACCTGCTTCTCTACCATCGATACCATTCCTGTGAGTCAAGTCAGAAAGCCAAGTCAGTAAGTGCCCCACAAGTAATCAGCTAACTTCTCTTGCTTTGTCCCCCACCAGTCTCTCACCATTCTCTTTCTTCTCTGTTCCCACTGCCACTGCCATTGTCCTAGGTGAGCCTCATCATCTGGCCCCTGCCTAACTTCCTCACTTGCTTCCTTGCTTCTACCCCCAAATTCTGCTCCATGCCGCCTCCAGAGCGATTCTCCTATAGCTCAGCTCTCTGATTGAGCTTCTCCAGCTCACAGATGTTCTAATTTCCCCACGCCAAGTTGACCCTCCGGCATTGAAGGCTCTCCACTATCTGTCCCCAGTCTAACTTTGCTCTTCTTGGTCCAGCTAGCTGAGTCCTGGGGTAAGCTGGAATGCTTGTGCAGGACTAAGAGGGGTAAAGAGAGAGGATGAGGTGAGGGAGTGTGTGGGGGCACCACCTCTGTTCTGGAATGTAAAAGTGTTTTGAGAAGTGTGAGTTCTTTGCCAGCAGAAGTTCTGACTCTTCTTCCTGGGTCTGTCTGCCTGTGTGCCTGTGGGGATGAGCATCTGTGGGAAGTGGTTCTTTGAGGGGGTAGGAGTGAGCACATGTATATATGTTGGAATGGGGTGGGGGGTTGTGCCTGTATGTTGTCTACATACATTTGTGTTGGTGTCTGTGAAAACCAGCCAGCCCTAGTGTGGGACACTCAAGTCGTGTCCGACTGTTTGTGACCCCATGGCCAGAATACTGGACTGGGTAGCTGTTACCTTCTCCAAGGGATCTTCCCAACCCAGGGATCGGACCCAGGTCTCCGGCATTGCAGGCGGATTCTCTACCAGCTGAGCCACCAGGGAGGCCCAACCAGTGTGAGCCCTTCCGTGTGTCTAAAACAGCAGCATGCTCTGTGGGGGGCATGCTCTGCGCTGTTGGGCAGAAGGGGGCAGAGCGCGCAAACCAGGCCCACCCAGAGGGACCTCTGGGACCGACCCTGTGGGAGGGCGATGGAGGGAAAGGCACCCTGGCAGGAGCTGGCCAGGCTGAGGGGAGCGGGTGGGGGCTGGGGGCAGAGGAGGCACAGGGAGGGTGAGAGGGGGAGGGGAAAGAAAGGACAGGAGCCAAGAAGGGGACAGAGGGGAGGGCTGGAGAGCTGGGGACGCCCTCACCTGGGTTCTGCCCAGAGCACTCTGAGCGAGGCGCACACAGGCTCTGCCTTCCGGCAGGACTCGGTTTCCCCGTCTGTGAAATAACCTGGTCAACGGCCCTTCTCAGGTCGAAACTGAGGTGGGGAAGAGGAGAGAGGGGCTCTCTGAGCCCTCCCAACCTCCTCTCCTCCCCTCCGGCCTCCGGGAGAGCGGGCAGGGGCGGGGCAAGGGCAGCCAAGGCTGGGGGCCCTCCCCGCCCACCCGGGCGCCATGGCCCTCATCCCGGAGGGAGCTGACACGCTCCTTGGGAATTTATCACGCACCCAATTACAATGTTAATTGGCAAGTTCCTGAAATCAATTAATTCGCAAATTTTTTCCAATTAAAAATCCAGATAAATCACGAGGGCGGCGGCGGGGAGGTCCAGCCTGCAGTCCGGTGGGCGCAGCGGCCGCAGGGAGGGGGGCGCGAATAGGAGAGGGGAGGGGGCGGCGGGCGCGGCTGCCCTTGAACGCCTTTGCCGGCCGGTCGGACTGTCAGCGCGCCGGGCGCGGCGGGGCCGAGACAGATAAAACCATCGACCCGTCGCCGCCAGCGCTTCGGCTTTATCGATCCGACGGGAATTTCACTTGCTGTGCAGATCCCGCTGTCCGGCTGTCAGACACCGGGTTGAGGAGGGGGGAAACGTACCAGGGGTTAGGGGGTGCTGGGCTGGGCCTGGACGCGAGGGGCACAGACGTGGGGGACGCGTGACCTAACGGTGAGGGGCGGGGCTCCCGTGAGGCTGGGGGGCGGGGAGCGGAGAAACGGACCGGGGCCAAAAGGTGTGAAAGTAGGGGACCCTCTGAGAGGCTGTGGGGCAGGAGGGATTGCCGGAGGGTCACGGGCGGGGGTGGAACACTTATGTGGGCAGAAGTGGATGTCCTGAGCAGTGCGTGGATGGGGCCTCAGGGGCTAGGCTGTGGTGTGGCCCCCAGTGAGGAGGCAGAAAGAGAGCTTGGGCCCCCACTCTCCAGACCTTCCCTCCATCTCTGCCTCTGGCCTCAGTTTCTGTTGAGAAGTCCTCCACCCAGAAGCACTCTTGCACAGCCAAGGTATGGAACTCAAATGCAGAAGGATGTTGCTTCCCCTCCCTGTTCTAGGCTAGTCCTGGGTGTGTGTTGCTGAGGGGAGGGAAAGGGGTTAAAATATGGGCTCTCGAGTCAGATTGCTTGGTTTTGACCCTTATCTTTACCACTTTACAGGCTGTGCAACCTTAGAGAAGTCACTTAACCTCTCTGTATCTCAGTTTCCTTGTCTGTAAAATGGACTTAATAATCATTACCTACCCCAGTGGTAGCCCTTCCCAGGTGGTGCAGTAAAGAATCTGCCTGCCAATGCAGGAGACGCAAGAGATGCAGGTTTGATCCCTGGGTCTGGAACATCCCCTGGAGTAGGAAATGGCAATCTGCTCCAGTATTTCTGCCTGGGAAAATTCCATGGACAGAGGAGCCTGGTGGACTACAGTCCATGGGTTGCAAAAAGTGGGACAGGACTGAAGCAACTTAGCACACGCACGCACGCACACACACACACACACACACACACACACACACACGTGGTTGTTAAGATTGAATAAATTAGTATAAAGTTCTTGGCACACAGCATTCAACAAGACTATTATTATCATCATTAGTACAGTCTCCTGTGGTAAGCCCACAGATTCTTTGGTACTCTTCCCTTCAAAGCTTCCCTGGTGGCTCAGCTGGTAAAAATCTGCTAGCAACGAAGGAGACCTGGGTTCGATCCCTGGGTTGGGAAGATCCCCTGGAGAAGGGAATGCTACCCACTCCAGTATTGTGGCCTGGAGAATCCCATGGACTGTATAGTCTGTGGGGTCTCAAAGAGTCGGACATGACTGAGCAACTTTCACTTTACTTCAAGAGGTAGAGCTTATAGTGTTTAATTCTCCTCTGTGGAGTGTGGGCTGGACTTGCTGACCTGCTTCTAGTGAGTAGAATAAAATATATTAGAAGCCATAGTGTATGACTTCCCAGACTAGATCGTAAAAGGCATTGTGGCTTCCTCTCTAGCCTCTCTCTTGTATCACTTCCTCTGTGGGAAGTCAACCACCATGTCTTAGGGAAACTCTAGTAACCCTATGGAGAGACCTGCACGTTGAGGAACTGAGGCCTCCTGTCAACAGCTTGTGAGTGAACCATCCTGGGAAGGGGTCCTGCAGCCCCAGTCAAACCTTCAGACATCCTGGCTCCAGAAACTGTGAAATACTGTTTGCTGTTTTTAAGCCATGATGTTTGGGGAGAATTTGTAACACAGCAATAGATAAGTAGTGTTTTGACCTTCGAAATTCAGCCCAGGCCTCACCTCCCTCAGGAGGCCTTCTCTGCTCTGTGCTGGGTTCAGTACCTTCTTGTTTCTCCCACAGCTCCTGTTTGTCCCATAGAGCAGTCTCTGTCCCTCAAGGTTGCTAATGCCTCGCTCTCCTTACTCCTATTATGTATGAGCTCCTGAGGGTGGGACCATTTCTTTCTTTTTTAATTGAAGTATAGTTGATTTGCAACATTGTGCCAATACACACTGGAGAAGGCAATGGCACCCCACTCCAGTACTCTTGCCTGGAAAATCCCATGGACGGAGGAGCCTGGTAGGCTGCAGTCCATGGGGCCGTTAAGAGTCAGACACGACTGAGCGACTTCACTTTCACTTTCCACTTTAATGCATTGGAGAAGGAAATGGCAACCCACTCCAGTGTTCTTGCCTGCAGAATCCCAGGGACAGCGGAGCCTGGTGGGCTGCCGTCTATGGGGTCGCATAGAGTCGGACACGACTCAAGCGACTTAGCAGCAGCAGCCAATACACGCTGTACACAATATAGTCTGCTATACACAATATAGTCTGCTGTACAACACAGTGACTCAGTTATATATATATATATATACATACTTTTTTTTAAGTTTTCTTTTCCATTCTGATTTACCCCGGGAGATTGAATATAGTCCCCTGTGCGATACAGTAGGACCTTGTTGTTTATCCATTCTAAATGTAAGAAATAGTTTGCATCTACCAACCCCAAATCCCTAGTCCGTCCCTTTCCCTCCCTCCTCCTTGGCAACCACAAGTCTGTTCTCTATGTCTGTGAGTCTGTTTCTGTTTTGTGGATAAGTTCATTTGTTCCATATTTTAGATTCCACATATAAGGGACATCATATAGTATTTATCTTTCTCTTTCTAACTTACTTCACTTAGTAGGATAATCTCTGGTTGCCTCTGTATTGCTGCAAATGGCATTATTTTGTTCCTTTTTATGACTCAGTAGCATTCCATTGTGTATATGTACCACCTCTTCTTTATTCATCTGTCGATGGACATGTAGGTTGTTTCCATGGTTTGCCTGTTGTGAATAGTGATGCTATGAACATAGGGGTGCATGTATCTTTTTGAATTATAGTTTTGTCTGGGTATATGCCCAAGAGTGGCATTGCTGCATCATATGGTAATCCTATTTTTAGTTTGCTGAGGAATGTCCATACTGCTCTCCAAAGTGGCTACACCAACTTACATGGGACGATTTCTGGTTCACCTTTGGGCCCCTGCACCCTGCATGGGGGGTTAGGTGAGAAGGTAGAGGAAGGAGGCTCAGTCAAGTCTGCCGACTTGAACTGATCCAGGTTTGGGGACTGGGAATCGTGGGGCAGGCTGTTCCCAGTGGCTGACCGTATTTCCCAGAATCGCTCGAGCCCACATGCTCTTCTGTAAGAGGAGCTTGCCCCTTCTCCATCAAAAGGTGGGGTACATGTCCCTGCCCCTAAAATCTGGGTAGGTTAACACTGCCAAGAGAGTATAGCAGAAGTGATGTTAAGTGATTTCTGAGATTAGGTTAATAAAAGGTGATCTAGCTTCGATCTCATTGGCTGGAACATTTTGCTTTCGTGCTTTCAGCTGCCATGCTCACAGGACAAGGAGCAGCCGTGTGTAAGTGCTTTGGTTACAGCCCCAGCTGAGGTCCCTGCTGACGGCCAACATCAACCACCAGACATGTGAATGAAGGAGCCAGGTGATCCCAGCTCCCAGGCACCAAGCCTTCCTAGCTGGGGCCCCAGACAGGGTGAAGCAGATACAAGCCACCCCCTCTGTGTTCTGTCTGAATTCCTGACCCCACAGAGTCCATGAGCATCATGAAATGGTTGCTTTAAACCCCTAAGCTTTGGGGCAATTTGTTCCTCTGCTCCCTTTGACAGCCTTGGCCTTTCTGGGAGGAGGCTCCACCGGGTCCTTCAGGCAGGGACAAGGAGGATGGGGTGGAGCAAGGGGGACATGCCTGAGCACGTTCTCAAGGTTGTCACCTTTCACACCTTGAGATTCGTAGGGAAGGTGGATGGCACCCCCAGGCTGCACTTCCCAGGGAGCTGCCAGCCCCAGTCCCTGCTTCTATTACCCTGCTCTGAGGCTCCTCCCCTTTCCAGGTCCTCCTGTGCCTTTTTGAGACTTAAGGCTCACTCTCCTCACATCTCCAGAAACAGAGCAAGCAGAGAAAGGCAGCACCATTCAGCTGGAGGAGCTGAGGATTGAAAGCCAGGTGGAGAATGGCAGCAGGGTCTTGCCGCCTGTGAGAGGCTGGGACCTGGTAGCCAGAACCCTGAGAGGAGGCCTCTGGCAGGTGGCTTACCTGGCGGGCAGCTGGGCCAGCTGCTCTAGTTCTTGCTCCATATGCTCCTGTAGCTCGCTGGGCCTCAGCAGGACCTGACAGATGGGGCAAATAGGGGCCTGGCTGTCAAACAGTGCTGCTGCCTTTTTCTTACCTGGTGAGGGAAGAAGAAGAGACAGACATATAAGCTGGGCTATATGTGGAGAGAAAAGCCATGTCCCAGTCCTCCACTCCAAGCCTCTGCTGCCTCCTAGGGCTTCTTGGCCTGGAGGAAGGGTGAGCCTGAGGGTCTCAGAGCCCATGCACATTATTCCACTTTGCAGCTCCAGAGGCTGTGGCCGTGCACAGCACCTCCTCAGCCAGCTGCCCCTCTCGGAAATCTATCAGGACGCAATCAATGCTCTGTGCAATCAAACCTTGATCACTTCATTTCACACGTTAGTGAAGCAGGTCTTGGTTTAATCACAGCATCAGCCAGAATATCCAAGGCCCCCTCTCTCACTCCTTTCCTCTCAGCTTTCACACTTTCCAAAGTGGGAGAAGAAAGAAAAGAGGGAGAAAAGGGATCGTTTTCCTGCAGTCATTCAACAAACATTGTCTGATGTCTGTGCTGAACCATGCCTAGTGCATAGCAGTGGGGACACAGAATATAACCAGATCTAGTCCCTGCCCTGAGATACTCACAGTCGAGTGGGAAAGAGCGAAAAGGACCAGGGTGACTGCCAGCGTAGTATTTTCTCCCAGCCCCTCAGTTTTCCCCAGGCTCCTTTCCATGGCCTCTCCTTGCCTCTCTGACTGTGGGACCATCTTGTGTATTCTTATTGGCTCTCACTCCCACCTGTGCCCTGCTGACATCCGTTTCTCTGCCCCAGATCCTTCCCATTTCTCCAGACCCCTATAGCCAAACACTTAATGGACATCAATGCCTGAATGTCCTACAAGAATCTCAAACTCAACCATCTAGAATCGAGTACTTGGACTTCGTTGGCAGTCCAGTGGTTAAGAATCACCTGCCAATGCAGGGTACACAGGTTTGATCCCTGGTCTGGAAAGATGCCACATGCTGGGGAGCAACCAAGCCCGTGTACCACAACTACTGAGCCCATGTGCCCTAGAACCCAGCTCTGCAACAAGAGAAGCCACCGCAGTGAGAAGCCTATGCACAACTGGAGAGTAACCCCGGCTTGCCACAAGAGAAAGACCACATGTGACAACAAAGACCCAGTGCTCTTCTCAGTGAAAGACGCCTGCACTCACTTGGTCACCCAAGCCAGCAACCTTCACTTTGCCCACAGCCCCTTCCTTGCTATATGCCCCCTCCCACATCCATTTAACCACCAAGTCCTGTCCGTTCTGCTTCAGTATTCCTGGAATCTACATTCTCCCAGTTCAGGTCTCACTCCTCACTCGGATAACCTCACTGGCTGCTGTGAGTCTAACAGATTCTGA